ACCCTCGTTAAAAAAAAAATGAAAGGGAAGAAAAAAAAAAGATTTCTGACACCTCTTTATATCATACTTTAATGCTTTATTTTCCCCATTTCCATTAACTGCTACAACACCTCACGCATTACTTTGTACTGTATGTCACGCCAGTGCGGACTGATTGAAATCCAGTGCCGCACAAGAGCAGTCGGGACTGAAGAGGACTGAAAAGGCCAACAACATCAACCAGCCCACTGTCACTGACTCACGAAGTTGATTCATTTTCAAAAACCACCAGGGCCACAGCTCCAGCCCCACTACACACGATACTGCCCGCGAATAGCAATAAAGTTGACTTGAGCACAAAGCGAAACAAAGCCGACTGGCCGTCAACACAGCTCAGCGGCCCTCTGGTAAAGATTCAGGATGATCTGAATTGAAACTACTGCGTGATTGCGAGCAGCCTTAACAGAGCGCCCCTGTGGCAGAATCACCCCTCATATTTGTAGAACAAACAAAAATAGAAATACGGAAGTAAACCACAGCCCCCCACAGTGCCCCTCGGATACAGTCACAGTCTGGATCGCTTACCGGGACTCTTCAGGTTGTACTTGGTTTCCATCTTTATCTGCGCAGGTGGACGGGGGGCGGCGGGCGCACGGATGTCTTCCCACGTTGTTTTGGTCCGAACAGGGTTCGGTTTCTCGGTGCCAGCTAACGGCTTCGGTTTGTTTCCCGGCCCCCTAAAGCTGCCATAACATAACGGAGAAAGCCACAGGAACTACAAAAACGCGTCCCTTCGGTGTCGTCGTGCCGGAGTAGTTAACTAGCATCCCAATCTTAGCAGCCTGACGTGGCACAATCCTCCTAGTTTCGCTAAGCGGCACCGTGACAGGTTTGAAATCACTTTCTGTTGCTCTACGAACATGTCACATGAAGAGACGAAAAGAGGAAGTGTACATTTGAAAAACGAAACTTTATTTACATCCCCGGCCAGGAATCAGCTGCGTTTCTGTCGGTGACTGGCCAAGAGAGCACTGCCTGTCTCCGGGATGAAAGGACGTCCTACTGTACAGTCATCATAATACTAATTGGTGTGACAGGATTAAACTTTGTTATATACGTCTTAAGACTGTCTAAAGCACGCATTGCGTTAGAAGAGTCAGAGCAATACAGTACATGACAACTGGGTTGAAACCAAAGACAAAAGCAGTTTGAAGTAATGCGTTTTAAACGAAACTTTTAATGAAAATGTTTTTGCGTTATGTTCTCTGTTTAACTGATAATAAAGAAGCTGATGTATCACGATTACCGTCTGATTCCTTTGCTGTCCGTAAACTGAGTACGCAGATTGGTAGGAGACACTAATGAGACGTGATGTGTGTGACGCATAAACAGGAGAGAAAGTGTTTAATTCTAGCCTGACGGAATAAGCCCTGCAGGGAACTGTTTTCAAGTTGCAGTAGTTTTGGGTAAATTTCAGAAGTGTATACAATAACACAATCAAAACACACCCTTATAACTTCAATGACACACCCATCATTTCACAAAAAAAAACATAAGAAATAAATATGCAGTGCGCTGTATTAGTAACAAATGTGCAAATATGACAAAAACAGCAGCAGTGCTACCAGGCATAAGTACAGACAGCAGCAATGAACCAAAATAGGTGGTTTCAGAAATGTATAATTTTCTTCAGTTAAAAGAAGCATCTTCTATTAATTGGGAATATCTGGCAAAAAAAAAAAACATTTTAATTCTGTTCTCTACTGTATGTAACAGTTATTTTCCTCAAAAGCTTCACTTTTTTCAGTTAATTCATTGCACATCGCAGGCATGTCAGGACACGAGTGAACATTTGTTTTTCATGTAACATACGGTACCTGTATGCCACATACAGTATATACTGAACATCCAAAAAACATTATTTATGTGCATTTGTAAAACAAATAAAGCATACTGGTTTTAGATAATGATAAGTCAATATTATTAGTTGCTTGGACATGGGCGATGAGGCGATTTAACCTGTTGAATGTCAAAGATGTGAAAATCGAAGATGAACAACACAGCAAACGATAAGCTCCCCATATTGATAGAAGTAGACCTTCATGCCTTAGGTATGTTGGAGGTTGAAATAAGCTGAGTCAAATGCACTTGCCAGCAATGCAGTCCTCTTTCGTCGTGAATAAAGAGCCTGATGGACATCAGTGTGTGTCAGATGTGCAGAACGATGCGCTGATTCTGTACAATAGAGCAACCAAGGGGAAGGTCCCAGCCTCACGGTCTTTAGTAAGTGGGCTACAGAATTCATGCATGACTCGTCCTGTGGACCTTGCTTGTTTGCCTTCCCGTGTTTTCATCTTGCAGTGACAACTCTCCTCACGCTGCTCGTGCATCAGAAGCCTTTTTCCGTGACGAGATTGTCTTAATTATCTCCTGCTTGCCGCCCTGAGTGAGCATTTCTGGGATCAGCTAAGACGGTGTGCGCCATCTGGAACAGACAGAGGTGCTTGCCCAGGCTCAGGGAGAGCAATGGGACGGATCCCCCCCAGGAAGCACCTGCAACCTGCCACAAGCCATGCAGTACGTTGCAGATATACAGCTTGTATGGTGACACGCACTGCAGGGGCCCTATACTACACCCTGTTGAGAGCGAACGTTAATCAGAGATACAGGTCATGTCTGTTTAACATAAGATCAGTGCACCTACTACAAAACAGATTGTGTATTTTCCAGATATTTTGTGAATTTGGTGCACTTATAAGTGAAAAGATTTTTTGTTGCACATTATATGTACAGAGGCTTGAGAAATAAACAGAAAAGAAATGACTTTGTTACTTCTCCCTGCTCTGCCTTTGACTGATGCATGACTGCTGTTGTCCTGCACAGATTTAGCATTTTCAGTCTTCAAAGAATGTTTTAGAGGAGTATTCATACAAGGACTGATTAGCATAGCCCCATTTTGCTCAGGGAGTCTTTTTCATCTTTGCTTTGTACAGGCAGTGTAAGCTAGTCATTCAATGTCTTCATTGGACATATAGAGAAGCTGCCCCTCTAATATAATATTGATGTATCCAGTGTACAGGCAGCTACAAAACCACCAGAGGTGACCATTCAGTTATACAAACAGTATCCTACACCAGGGATAGTCACTTTATTATCATTTACAAAAACATTTCAATTAAAAATTCCTGTATGGGAGAGTGCCTGAGCCCTGGCTTAGAAATTTAACTTCTGAACAATACATGGGAAAAAGGCAAAAAGGTAGTCAAAGAAACAGCACTGTCGAGAGAGAGGAGTGTTTTGTTTTGCTGTTGCTGCTTACATCTAGATACCAACATCTGCTGGCTGGAATCACAGCATCTGGCTCTTTTGATCCCTGTTTCAGCAACCATCTCCCACTCAAGACCAGAAATGCTGCAAGGCTGGGTGATATGAAAGGTTACATACGAGAGCAGGCCAGTCCTTCCATCTAGCCCATTCGGTAGTAAGATCGATAGTCATGTTTCTTTTTGAATAGTGAAATGTCCTTTAACCGGATTTGCATTTCTTTATGTTCTGAGTTTCAATTTGTACTGTGCCCTACAATGCTTTTACATGGAGGGTGCAATATGCAAATACAGTGTGCATATTGTAATCTAACTCTGCACAGTAACCCATGCTGTGGAGATATACAGTATTGCATACTCCTAGAGTGATCTGGTGTTGAAGCTATGGCTGCCCTTCAGCTGCAATTGACCATGGCAATTACTGTTTTTTCACTTCATATTCTATAAGCCTCTCATCTGCAAACTACAGATCACCATGAAAGTACATCAGTACTCACAAAGCTTACTGTACAGCGGCATGTACAGTATGTGTTCTGATAGACTGCAAACACGAGACGTAAAAGCATGATATGGCTTATTTTGATTTTAACATTATTTACCTTTGGCACCTTGGTACCTTTCACAGGTCCTGCTCACCTGCTGTGGTTGGTTCGTTTTTTTGTTAAGATTACTTTATTAAGATCACTTTATTAGCCATATAAAATTTCTTGTTTTAGGAATTTGTCTTTTTTGCTTGCCCCAACTTGAAGCTTGGGGTCAGAGCGCAGGGTCAGCCATTTATACGGCGCCCCTGGAGTAGCTGGGGTAAAGGGCCTTGCTCAGGGGCCCAACAGAGTAGGTTTCCTACAGCTGTAAAGCCAGACTGTAAAACAAGAACTGGCAATTTCACTTCTAAAAACAACAAACACCTTTTTCCTCAGACAGAAATGGTGTCCTAAAGTAGCTCTTTACCTTTCAACATGACCAGCCTCTTTAAAGGGCTACATGTATCTTTTCAACATTATTCAGCATTAAAAAAATATATCTTTTAAAAAGATTTCTATAACACCTTAAATCTTTTTTTTCTGGACTCCAATTAAATGTCAATTTTTAGATTTTTCACAGGCCAGATTGTTACAGATCTGGATCCTTTCAAGTGTATTTTTAAGTGATTAACAGCGGTACCCGTGTAAAACAAAACATATGTTTCAGATAGTTTTTTTTTTCTTCCCATGACTGCAATTTACCTCCTTAAGTTGTATGGCAATTGCCCTTAATATTTTTTAATTAAGGGCAATTAAGGGCTAAACAAATTAGCATTGGAAAATGCCTCAATTAATTTATCTTGAAATGTTTCTCCCATAAAACCTACTGATTGTCAGATAATTTTGTATTTTGCATACTGATGATAAGAGTGTAATTCTTTATAGGTTTGCAATGTTTAAAGAAACTATATTGATTTAATTATTTTAAATGTTACACCACTGCAATACATGACGTGGACTAGTGAGTTCACATTGCAGTAAATCAGCCAAATGATGCTGTACATTGTCAAAGTGTACAAAGTGTGGTGCCATACTGTGACCTCCATCCACTTCCACGAGCTCAGGGGTGTGTGCTCTTATCCAGCCCATTCTTCGGAGTCTTCACTTGTAATGACCTTTCAGAGTGTTTGAGCACCTGTTTTTCACTCGGGGATCATGTGTCGCAGTGTGTAAATAAAGGTAAAAGAAATTATTTTTAATGCGTCTTGATTTCAGGCGGCTAGGCCACAAGATGTGCTACTCTGGAAAGGGCGTGGAGACCTTCTGCAGGCACTGTAGGTGGTTTGCAGGTGTCAGGCTGCCTTCTTGTTTAGCCCGACGCGTGCGAAGAGAGGACAATTTGGTTTCTCTGTCCTCGATTCTAAGACGCAGGCAGTACCTGACAGGTTTTCGAGTTCCCGGGTGGCAGCTTTCCGAATTTCCTACTTAGCAACGACCGCCGACGGTCTTGGGAAAGGAGCGGACGGAAAGGTGCTGGGCCGAGCCTTCGGGGCCTGGCAAAGCTCCACGGCCACAGGCACCTGGGCTCGGCTTCGCGCGTCCCCCTGCCCAGGACGTCCGGCGGACGGGGAGACAGTCAGTGCGGGAGTCCTGGAGTGCCATTGGGAGTGGCCTGCTTACTCCTTCTTCTCTGGCTCAGAAGCCTCCGGGACTGCAGCACCTTCACCCGGACCTCGAACACCTCCTGGATGGCTTTGCGGAAGCAGTGGAAGTTGTAGTCGATCAGTCCTGAGAAGAGACAGATCAGAGAGATCATTGTATACAGTATATTTGACTATACAGACTAGATATAGGGCAACTCCAATCTTTGAAGTTAGAGTCTCTCAGATTGTACAAGTACCACTGATTAAGATTAGAAAAACAGACAACTTGATACCAGGCAACAGGCAACTTCATTGAAAATAATTAATCTATTTAAAAGTTATGAAGATCACAGGAATCATGAAGGTAGAGGGCTCTGCTGCCCAAAAAAAAACACTGGAGTTCCAGGCCATTTTAGTTGGACATGATCATAAATTAATATAACTTAAAATGTAATACAGTATATACTAGATTGTATTTTAGAATGATCTATAGATATACTCATGATCTTGGGTACATAGCATATTGAAATACAATGTTTATATTTTGAATTAGGAAACAACAAGAAAAAATCCAACTCGCATAATAGAATACAAATGATCAAAGAATCAAGAACAGACTGAGCTATGGTTATTGTACATTTGAAAATAGGATATCTAAAGTCACTTGGGACCTTGGGTCTATTTTAATTATCTAAAATGAGGTGCCACAGGTTTACAGACACCCTTTATGACAAGGTATGACCACTTTTTAATGACCACGGTTTCACTACTCAATTTCTTCACACCAGTGCCAGCTTAGAACTCTGAACGCCAGTCAGTGACATCGTTCTGACAATCCAACAGCAGTATTATCAATGTTCATCCACACAATCTCCCCGTAGGCTTCGATCTGCTGTGTGAATGATGTGAATGTGACTGCAAGGTCATTAGGTGAGACGCACTGTATGTGTTTAGGAAATGGTGGCCAAATTATGTACCACTTGATGACAACCGCAAACATGTTGTTTGGCTGTATTGACTGACGACAAAAGAATGGTAGTTACTCAACTCTGTTTAAAATAGTCGTTAATTTGTAACTTTAACATGAGGTGGAAATGTGCCGACAAGTCAAAGTCTAATGACTAGTCTACTTGTTCATAGCAGCATACCGAGAGGACAAACACAAGATTTTTGTTCTCCATTGCAAAACTGCAGAAAATGGCCAGAATAAAAGATAGGACCCCAGAGCTGAGAACCTCATGTGTATTATTATATAGGAATAGGTACATATACAGTTGTGTGCAAACATTTAAGCACCCCTGGTCAAATTTTACGTTTCAGTGGATCTAAGTGAAAAGAAGCTGACACAATCTCTGCATGGTACAAACGTAAACATCTTTCTGGAAATTTAAATGCACAGTTAGTATTTATGTACAGTTTTGTAGATTTTCAAAATCATAAAACAGTGTACGTGGGAAATGCAAACATGTGGGCACCCCGTCAGTACTTAGTAACACCTTCATGGAGATGAAATCACAGCTTCTAAACGTTTCCTGCAGCCAGCCAAGAGTTTTCTGTTCTTGCTTTTGGAATTGTTTCCCCACTCTTCCTTGTTCCATTCTACTCCAGCTCAGAAATATTCTTAGGTCTTCACTGACCTCCCCGCAGATTTTCACACTTTTCAAGTCTGGGGACTGTGGAGGCCATTCCTTTTGTTCCTGTAAGTACTTCATGGTTAATCTACAGGTATTTTGTGGATTGCTGTCTTGCTGATATATCCGACCACTTTCCAGCTCCAGTTTCTTCACTGACCCTGGGATATCAGCTGCTAGGACTTGTTGATATTTAGTTGAATCCATTCTTCCTTCTACCCGCACAATATTTCCTGTGCCACTGGCTGCCAAACCTCCCCAAAGCATAACAGATCCACCCACCCCCATGCTTAATGGCTGGCAAGCTGTTCCCTTTCCAAACGCTTCTCCCTTTTTTCTCCAAATGTATCTTCCGTGGTGGTGGCAAAAAGTCCAATTTTCATTTAATCACTCCACAGCCCTTTGTTCCAAGAACTTTCCATTGTGTCAAGGTTGTTTTGTTGCATACTTTAGACATTGGGTTTTGTGATGAGTACAGTACAGCAGAGGAGTTTACTGCCATATGTACCTGTACATTGGAATTCTTATGAAGTGGTCGTGGGAAAGGTTTTCTTCTGACAACTCTCCCATGAAGATCATTTTTGTGAAAGCAATGACATACTGTGGACCTGTGGACAACTACTCCTGCGTCAGCTAAATTGTTCTGGAGGTCCCCTGTAGTGCTCTGTTGGTTCTGCTTCACAGTTCGGACCCGTTTTCGAGCAGTTCGGTCAGAGAGTTTTCCGTGTCTTCCAGATCTTGCCTTGACTGCCAACAGTTTCCCTTAACTTCCATTTTTTAAGGATGTTCTGAGTCTGTCCCAGCTGCTCAGCTCCGAGAGGCAGCAATGCTAGAGTAACTACTGCTCCACCATGCCACCCGCACCTACAGTATTATCTAAAACAACAAAGAGCACCATGTACTGTATTTTCTACTTACATTAAAGAAAGGCTGTACTGTACATAAGATTTAAACCAGATGTTATTTTTGGCACCCCAACTAGCTGATAAAATGATAACTGAAAAATGATTTTATAAATTTATGAGACAGAGGTATTCCATTTTTCTTTACATGAATATACTGTATGGTGGGAAAGGAATTATATGAAAAAAAATGATTTTTTAAGTTCTTATTACTGAGCTAGATAGCTGAAGAGGAAAATACTGTATCCCTTGTGTGAAGCAGGATTAAACGCAATCCTGTGGTTCTTATTATTAACATGTGAATGCCGGAGCCCTCAGGGCTGCATTTTGATCACCTCTCCCCCAATAAATCAAACCTACCAGATGTCTACTCCCACCACACACGACACACACTGGAGACATTTTAAGCAAGCCAATCTTAACAAGCCTTTTAGCTAATAAAATGAGCTTTTCTAATTTTAAAAATCTCTGGGTATTATAATATAGGGCCTAACATTAGGGATAGATTTATATAAAATAGTACTGAAGTGGGGGAAGACAGGGGAACCTGGGTAATTTCATCTAGGAGTTTTCAAATCATGAGACCACAACCTCTTACAAGCCTTCTTCTTCAGGCCTGCGCGCTCCAAGGGACAGGACGTCCTCATGCATATATCCCTGCACTACAGTTTCCTGGCCTCCTCTCAGGAGGATTCGCAATTGGAAATGTCCATTTGTATGACACCCCCCCCCCCTGCAAATTTCTCTGCGTTACTGCCTTCCAGTCTCATCTTGTCAAATCTCATAAAATCTACTGGATCCACTGCAAGTTGACGGGCTGGGAGACCTCTAAAGAAAACTGTGCTGTAAGTGGTGTTGGCAGACTACACCAATGCTCAAGTATGGTGGCAGGGGACCTCTGCCGTACATTAGATGAGACGTAAACTGAGGTCCTGATTATTTGGTCATCAAAGATCCCATGGGATTGTCTGAAAGAGCAGAGATGTAAACCTAGGGTCCTGGCTAACTTATATTCTGGGTTTATGCGATCTGTTTAACCTAAACTTCCCCCATTTATTTCAACTGGTGAAGGAATTTCTCAGTTGTCTTCCTGCTGTGTTGTGTAATGTGGCTGCTGGCACACAATGGCTGCCGCATCTTGGCCACGTGGGGTGCCGTCTATACTGTATGTTCTCCTTTAGAACCCAAAAGCAATATATAAGTTACAAATAATTATTACTACATTATTAATGATTACATCAAGAAGAAGAGTGTGTTTCATCTTTAAGGCAACTGCTTTCAAAGAACAACACCTGTGAAAAAGGTAATCTACCGAGGCTGTGAAACATGACATACTGTAATAGTGTCACAATTAATCTCAAAGACAAGACTGTAGAGTTCAACACATATACTTTTCAGGGATATCACCAACGTTTTTTTCTCACTCCTAAACAGGTTGAAAAAAATTACGTGTTTTACAAAACTCACCTTTCCTTTCAAAGCTCTCCTCTCTGAGGAAACACACCAGAGCCAGGAACTTGGTGACCTCTTTCAGGTACATGACCGTGGTGTTGTTCAGCCTGATGATTGCCATCGACTCCTTGTCATAGGGAGTGGCCATTTCATCCCCTGTCAGACTGAAAACAGAGAATTGTCAAAATCAAGTACAGGGGACTGCCTGTGCCATGCCCTTCATAATAATAATAATAATAATAATAATAATAATAATAAATAATTGCTTACACTTATATAGCGCTTTTCTGGACACTCCACTCAAAGCGCTTTACAGGTAGTGGGGTCTCCCCTCCACCACCACCTGTGTGCAGCATCAGATATTGAATCATACTGCACACCTCAGCTGTAGTAATGTTCACGCAAATGTCAGTCTTTATATTGATCTGTGGCATTAACATGGACCAGTGGTGAACAGCCCTGAGCTGGTGATGATCATGTTACTGCACTGTATCAATTCAGACAAATGAAGGTATGCGGCTCTTGCTTTATTTATTGAAACACCTTTTTCAGGTTTTACAGTCTGCAGGTAAACTACTAGTATTCAGATTCCAGGTGGAGAACAGCACTACAATAACAGCTCACATTACTCTACATGAAGGATCAACAATTATTACACCTAACATGTATTTAAAAACAAACAAACTCCTTTGTCTGTCCAGACATTTCCAGTTTGCATAAGAGCTAAATTCCTATTTTATCTCTCTGGATTTTCACTATTTTATTTAAAATTGCTACTGGAGGTCAAAGTACATCAATAATATGTGCTGCAGTATCGCATGGATGTCTACTTAATGATGCATTTAATATCTTAAATGGTGATGCTCTTTTGTTGGGTAATCAGATTAATAACACAAAGCTGCCATCATGTGAGTAGATGGTTCAGTTTTATGATGGAGGTAGATTAAATTGCATAAACACATTTGGACAAAATAAGCAGATGCTTCTGCATTACAGTTATGAACAACTAACACATTTTTCAAATTAGGCTGGACATAATTCAGATTGAATTATTCTGAAATGAACAGATATCATTAAAAATAAGTAAATCAAAACCTGTGCTTTGATTGGGATTAGATAAAGAAACTGTGAGTGGTCCTAAGCAGAAAACACATCAGCTTGGGTCCCAAAATAAATGCAAGAAAGAAAATCACTGCCAAGATTTCTTTCTCTACAAATCTCAAATGAGAAAAAATATTTTCCAGTTTTGCTCTATAAATCCATGAAAATACTTCACTGCATCATTTTGATATTCTAATCACTTTCCAATATTATATAAAGGATGACCTGACCTGATTACAAGATTCAATATCCAGGTGGTTCTGGATAAATGAACACCACTCGAGAAGCAAACAGAAGTTCACATTTTATGCTAGCACTAGGACTTTTTCCTTTCAAGATACCCTGACAATCAAAAGAAAATGACCAATTCTAAATCAATTTTCCACATTATTACCAGAAAAATGGCAGATATGGCAATCATATTTGTAGCAGGTACACCTAAACTTTACTGCAGGCAAGATACAGATAAATTCCTTGCAGCGATTTGTCATCCGAGAGCCTACAGTGAAGGTCTCAGACTAGTAGTAGCATCTGTGGTCACTGTCAGAATCAATACAAGCTGTACACCTACAGTACAGTGTCTCCTGTCTTTTGATACAGCTGTGGAGTTTAGCACAAATGTTCCTGCCTCCGGCACTGATGCTTGAGAATCATGCTGAAGGTCCCACGGATCTATGTTTTGTAAGCAAATGAGTGGGGGCACCGTAAGTGACGTCTGCGGGGAAAGAACAGTGATGCTTGAATCAGAAGTGAATGAGACAGTGAGGAGACTTTTCAATCGCACACACATTTTCTGCACAAGCCTTCACCTACCTACAGTACCTGGAAACCCCTTCACTGACAGCTACTGTACCAGCACTCCCCTTCTCCCATTTCAGAGCTTTGCTCGCAGCACCGTGCTGTCCCAAAACTTCTTCTTCCATCCCTGCTTCTTGTCCGTTTGTGTCAGTGGAGTGTACATTTATTATAGATAGTTTTGGCTGTGATTCTTTTGACATACATCCTCAGGCAAAACACAGTTTCTGCTTTCTGAGCTTACAATCATGACGATTTTCAAATGGGACTTAATATTTAGGATTTACACAAACCACTACAAATTGACAAACCTACAAAATGCTGATGTGTAAGCTGGCAGGTGAATTAGTATTTTAACGATAATGAGAACGCTCTTAATTGCATATGTATTCAATCCCTTTGTTACAATGACCTGAAGTCTGCACATGTGCAGAAGTGAAGCTTGAAAGGTGACAAGACGAATGTAGTGGTTATTGGGATGTATCTCATCAGCAGGGATTGGGAGGTTTGTGTCTGACTTGCTCGAGAACTGCAGGCCATCAGCTATCACCACAATAAACCCATCACTGGAGTACTGGAGAATGTTTTCCAAAATGACATCATCCTGTCAGGCAAAGCTGGTAGAGTCCTATCCACTTTGAGGCAAATATTAATAGTATAGGAGAAACGCATGTAACCAGGTGATTCTGTAATAGGTTTTCAAACTGTATCAAGGATTGTCTATGCAATAGATAGAGTGTTGGTAAGCTATTTTCTACATAATCAGAGAAATGCTTGGAAGTTCTTCAGCATTTTTTTCACTTGATTTGTTAAGTTTTGTTAAGGAAAAAAATGGCTGTACTGTATGTGCATAGCACCTACTGTACACAGTGGAGACACTAGCTTTGTGATGGGACAAAGATGAACCAATAACTGATATTGCATTTATGAAAATAAACAAATGAGAGGGTAAGGGCGAGGTACGAGGAAACATTCTGATTTGATCTTTTACCAGTAGGTGCTGAAAGGCTCGATTTTTACATAAAGATTCTCCTTATGTTATCTCTCCAAAAGAAAAACTTTTAAGCAACAGCAGTTGTAGGAGTCTAGAGAAATATACCATACCTGTGCTGTCGAAGCCGATACCCTGGCTTCCGCCATGCACGGTGCCCTCCTGCGTGCAAGCTTTCTTGTCCAAATATGAAATGGTGTGTGAGTAATGGGGTGGAACTGCCCACCAGCTGAGCCAGGCTTTACAAGGTTTGAGATACGGGCTGTTCTGGCCAGGGAACGTGAGAGAGTTTGTTCATTTGACTGCGGCTTCCTAGTATTCTGAGGAATAAATGTCTTAGATCCTGTATAAGATCTGTCCTTAAGATTTTGTGCTTTAACTCTCAAAAGAGACTCTGCGGTAACGCAGCACAACAACATCTAGACAAATGATTCAATTCCTACCGCCTGCACCGTATGCGTTGGTTTTGCAATGTTATAATGAAGGTATTCTACAATTAAAGGCACTGTATAAGCTTCCTAATTTTGATGATGTGCTCTGTGCAGGACATTCTCATTTCATTACATAGCTGGTGCTGCATACGGCCACTTTCTTGCTGCTCTCTGGTTGGGTTTTTTGAGGTCGTGTTCCTTCGAACGTCAGATCTGTATCCTGATGCGGGCGCTCTCCCAGCCCATCTGCTCTCCCAGCCCTTGCCCCCGGCCAGCTGTGCTGCCCCGGCGACGCCCCCATCTCCCCGCGTTCCTGCAAGAGCATCCCTGCGGAAAACCACTTCCCAGGCGGAGCCCGTCAGCCCGCGTTACCGGAAAATATCTTCTGCAGACAAAGAAATATCATCTCTCTTATGTGATCCCAAAGAGATTCTTTTTCCATACAGGAAGGGTTCTTTCTGCTGGCCTCAACAAAAGTTCAGTCAAAATGAATCCAAAAGCCAAATGCGACGTACTGTACACTTCATAGGTCTAAATACCACCTCACAAATTACTTTTCCCTCACATATTCAGACCCAATTACAATTTTGTGAAATAGTATGTAAGACTATGTAAAACAAAGTCAGCGAATGATAATATACAGTAGGTATTGTATGACAATTGTGCCATTGGGCGACTATCACATAAGGTACGGGAGGATGTCCTATCTTGTAACACTAAGATCATTTTCTTGTAATTACGAGAAAACACAGGAAATATTTGTTTTTCCTTAATGGCAGCATTGTGCTTCAGTAATACAGTCAAAAGCTTCACATTTTTAAATTAACAGATGCTATGCAACTGAAAGGCCTCTTTTACAATCTCGGTCACCACACTGTAGAAACGATACTGCAGCTCTAAAGTCAGTTCAGAGAAGAGCAGCTACACGCTTTCCAAAACTTAAGAGAATGTCCTACACTGACAGGCTGAAACATCTGAACCCTTTTAGCCCTGAACAGCGAAGACTGTGAGGGAACCTGACACAAGTATTCAAATTTCTCAAACGCCTGACAAAGTCAAGCTGAATAACATTCTCCAGCACCAACAGCGAAGCAAGGACCACAGGGCACCCGTGTATACTGTGTGGCAGTGCTGGTACAGTACAGCCAAGATCTCTCAGCCAGCTCGGGAGCCCCCCAGGAGGAGCTGGAGACTGCTGCTGGGGAAAGCGGAGTCCGGCCTGCTACCACCACGACACTCTCCGGGAGTACTTGTCTAAAAAATGAACCAATGAACGAATCCACAGAACATCTAGCGGCATTCCAGAAACTGCTGGATGAGAATCTTAGATTATTTAGCTAATACCAAATCGGCTAAATGGGCCAACCTGCCCCCCCTGATTTATAACCATTCTATGTTCCAACGTTTACACATACAGTAGCAAATGCAGTAACATCACAGCTCTCCTTACGAAGACAGGTGAATGCATCGAGGCACAAAAAGTTGACAGCGACACTTATGACACCCAGACCCACTGGTGAAGGTGCCATAGACATGTCTGCACATGCAACTCACCCGTATATGCAAGAGATATCAATGACCACGTCGATCATGTCACAGCACAGCTCATACGTCTGCATGTCCACTGGTGTGCTGTCTGTTGCGATGTAGATTTTACTGACAACATCAAAAAGAAATGCCTTTTCAATCCCAGAATTCTGCAAAGGAAAACATGAGTTAAATAAATAGAGGCATTTATTGAACAAGTGCAATCTATACATACTGTATACTTGTACACTGATTACCTAAAAAAATGTGCTACTCAGGTTTTGTTAGTATTGATGGAACAAAATATGTACATTTGTTACTTTTTAGAAGCCAGTTTGCATTTGAGAAGGCAAAGCCTGGCCAAATCTTTCACTATTTCATATAAAAAACGTGTTTAGAATGGGGACCCTGAATGGAAGAAGCCTGTCATCATCAAATCTGCTAACAGAGTCAACTATTCAGTCTGCATAAATGTTCACATTATATGCGCTTTTACTGGCTTCTTTCAAGAAGCGAATCATTGAGATCCACAGATCAATCAGCTCCAAACAACCAGACGGGCTACATGTGTCAAATAGCCACCGCTTCTCAGTACACACTCTTGTGCTCTTACACTGAGTACCGGGTCTCTTACTAAAATATCAGATTGATTACCGAATCCCAGACATCCCAACGTACCCTACTTTAAGTGAAAACCTCTCTCAATTAATATTTTTTCAGTGTCTGCTTTACTACACAAATATGGTATTTTCTTTTTGCCACATATGGTGACCCAATCTTTTTTAAAATCTAAAACTGGGGAGTAGTGTGTGGGGAGGGGGGGTAAATGCAATGGCACTTTAATTCAATGACCTTAAAAGCCTTTCACATCTGTATGCCTCCTTCTAAATCCAGCTCAGGCTACGAGGACATTTGCCTTGCTGCTCTTCTCCCCAGTGCGACTGGCCCACATCACAACACTACCTCAAAGGTTAGAACAGCTGGCTACAATGTTTACGGAAAAGAGGGTAGATATTCAGCTAGTGCTTCATTTCTGTACAATTCTGGACCCGTGCCGTTCACATGCGACTTAAAAATCTCATTATTTCTAGTCCGAAATTTGTTCGCCCATCTTGTAATTTGTCCTCCTTGGGC